AGATGAATGTTCCAAGCAGATGACTATCAGGAACTTTTACTATGGAAGGTACCGAACATAAGACTTTGGTAAGAATTGCACTTAATTTCATTAAAAAACAATCTTTATATGTTCGCTCTTGCAGAGGAAGTTGATTGCACCGGCCTTCTCATCACAATCGATTAAAGCCATGACTCCCATATTCTTCCAAAAAGCTGAAGAACTACGGGACAAGTGGGAAATTCTTATGTCTTCTCCATCATCTGCCGATAATGCAAAACTTCCTCCTCCTTCCGCACCGCCTTGCTTTCCTCCTCCTTCTTTGACTGATGTAGTGATCGACGTCGCGCATTGGTTCTCACGTGCAACATTTGATGTCATGGGTTTGACAGGCTTTGACTACCACTTTCATGCTATCCAGTGTGAATCAGAAGAAGTCTACTTAGCATACAGAAACATGTTCAAGCTAGCTGACAAGGGTCCTGGATTGCGTGGACTTGTCCAGCTTTATTTCCCAATTATCGAAAAAATATTTGTCAGTGATATAATCAGCTCAGTGACAGCTATGCAACTGACGTCCTCCTCATTGCAGCCTAACAAGGCCACGTGCATCACAAATGAAAGTCGGCGCATAATTAGTGAAGCTGGGCAACGACTTATCCACAGCAAGAAATCCGCCATTCTTGCTGAAAAAGCGAGTGCACTGGAGATCACTGAAAAAGACATTCTTAGCTTACTCAGTCTGTACTCACCCTACTCTCTTTGTTGACTGAAGCTGACACTGGATGCTGGGCCTGTAGTCAAATCAAACCTTTCGTCGGATGTTTCAATGCGACTTTCTGATGCAGACATTCTGGCACAAATCTCGACATTCCTGTTTGCTGGCTCCGACTCGACAGCTCTTGCCATGTCCTGGTGCATCCACCTCCTTTCCCTACACCCTGATGTCCAAGATCGTCTACGCAATGAATTAGGTTCTCTGTCCTCTTGTGCATCAACTTCTTCTTCGACAGTGCATTCTGCACAGTCGCATGCGGAAGCCATTGAGGGGCTTCCTTTTCTCGACGCAGTGGTCCGCGAAACACTGCGCTTGTGCCCTCCTGTGCACGGTACAATGCGGGTTGCTACTCGTGATGATAACATTCCAATTTCCTCCCCCGTAGTTTTGCGTAATGGCACGATTATCCAAGCGGGCAAAACCATCCCCCTCCGCAAAGGCTCTTACGTGCATATTCCCATCGAGGCTTTGAATTTTAGCACTGACATCTGGAGTGAGGATGCACGAATATTCAAGTATGTAAATCTTTCATCGGTGCGCCCACTTTCTGATAACTTGCAGCCCTGACCGCTGGTTTTCTCTTCCTCATACCGCACGAGCCCCCTCTCATCCTGGAATTAGGAACCTCATGACGTTCTCATTCGGTCCACATGCTTGTCCAGGCTGGAAGTTCTCGATATTGGAAACCAAGATATTCATCGCCACTCTCATCCCTTATTTTTTATTTGAGCCAGCTGCAGATATACAAAAGTTCAATGCAATTCTGACTCGGCCATACGTGTATGATCAGTTCGAATTTGGCACGCGTCTACCTGTAAAGATTGGACGGGTAGATCTATGATGTACTAGTTGTCGCATCTATATCCTTATTGTCGCAAACATATATATCTGCTCATCACTACGACATTCATGATGCCGCCTGTAATCCCCCACGTTAATCAGGATGCGCGATTTTTTGGCGTTTATGTGTGCTCTATAAATAATAGGCGCTTTCTACTGTCACTTCTCACACTGAAAATGAGAGCTTTCTACGTGTGGGCAACACCATGGAGCTATGAGGTTTTCGAGGGAGACAAGAACACTGGAAATTGGGCGATACCTGCATTGTTCGGCTTAGAGACGAGGAGTGACCTGAGTCCTGACATGGTGAGATAGCCTGACCTTGGCATGTCTCCGTGATTCTGATTGCTAATTGAAGCTCGAAGTCTCCTTGTCTTCTCTCGTTGATGACGAAAAGGAAGAGCCACCAGCGAACAGGGCAACCACAAAGCGCCACGAGACTAACGAGCGGCACTGTAGATTTTCGTATTATACTGCAGCGACGTACAGCGGCGAATATATTATGACCGCCATGGGCGCGGGGTGTATGGGAGTAGCGCAGCGGCCACCCGCCTTCCCTCTTCCGCGAGCAAGTTATACGTCGAACACGCATTTCTCTGGCGAGTATGAAAGGTTATTGAGAGTAGTGCTGCTGGCAAAGTAGTAGACCTCACCGTATCCATAATATCAAGCTGTATTCCCATTTCCTTTAGATAACTCCTCATACTTGACGGCGGAAGCTCCATTCGCCTCCCCGTACCAAACACGAGAATTTCTACTTGGTGTTCAGTGATTGCCTTTCGGGCCAGCAAGACCTCGAACGCACCAGGTTTCGGGACAACAAGCTCAAAAACATTCCAGTGCTCGCGAGTCCAGCCATCCCATAGACGCGTAGGAACGTCCCATAAAAAAACCTTCCCGTCCAGGAAGATGCATGCAGATGGAAGGATAAGCCCATCTGCGAGCTGGATACCTGCCGAAGTTATGGAACTGACTTGCACCGGGGGCGGGACATCTCCTGCAAGCATGTTCGTGAACACAGTGGGACGATCTGTCTTGCGAATTGGCGTTGTATGCAGGCCCCGTCGTAATAGCGAATGGCGAAGGTGGGTAAATGCAGACATTGTGCACGTCACAGCTTGAGCAAAGTCAACAACCGAGCATAGAGCTAAGAGTTACGACTCATAACTACATAGTACAAAATGATCGTGCTCAGTCACGTCATGTGACTGACGTCTGCGTCGCGCCTTAGCATATTTTACTCAGTAGTCGCAATACGGATCTGGAGAATTACATTTAGGTGACTTGGCAGGACTATGGGCTACACGATGGACTAAATATCTCATGACAGAGTGTCGCATTCGTGAAGGGTCACATTCTCGATAGCACCAACCAGTATATTCACCTCATCCTCTGATGAGATATCATACACCGTGCTGTTGGTCAGGATCTGCGTCGTTTCTGCGATAGCCGCAATAGGACAAGGGGAACCTACGGTAACCCCCGTATAAATGTATCAATAACGCAGTATAAGGCAGTCCTCACCTCGAGGTAAAGCAGTTGCCATCCTACTGACTTTCGGGGTTCGGGGAGCTCTTTGCGCGAAGAGGGGGACGAGTTTTCCAACTTTACAACTGCCACATACTATGGGACACTCATCAAATATATCTGTGATCTCGCAAGTGGAGTTGTGATCAGCTCACCGCATTCGTCTGGTCTGATGGATTTGCTATATCGCCCATATCTAGTAACCAATGATCAGGCATGGGATGACAGCGCTGACCGACATTCAACTTACATTTTTGAACACTTTTCACATTCTTCATAAGAGTGAACAAAGCAGCGCTTGGTTGAAGCAGGACCTGGCACTTACTCCATTCAAATGGGTATAAAATTTCGTAGTTATGTCTTGTCTAAAATTACAGGGATCAGAAAACAGTAGCCCAGTCCAATGCATGCCTACCGTAATTTCGATTTCTGGACGTTTGGTCATCACCTTGTTGGCCCTAGCAAGGGATTAGATCAACGGTAAGTGAAAATGATGCAGTAACCAACCAGGCTTTAAAGGCCGGGCCATGACCTTCTTTCGGGTCACCGTTAATGATCCAGCATGCTAGATGACACATTTCATGCGACAAAGTATTTCGTATACGTTCTAAAACGAGCAAATCAGGACGATTATGAAGCGAAATGGAGACATCTCTACCATCACAGTCCAATATTTTGGCGGCCAGCTCAATCTCTGTCGTCTGAACGCCATCCCTAGACCTACCATCAAGATGAACATGATAGGACATACAGAATGATGAAGGTATACTTGTGCCACCTGGCCCTTCCCGCCGTGGTCAGTAGGCGCTTGTTCCAATTTAGTTTCGTCTCGCGGGGAAGACCGTCGTTGAATATTGTACTATTGAGCTCTGCAAACAGCTTTTCGGCATACTTCTCGCGGCGTGCTTGCTCTTCCGCTTTCCCCCGCGCGGATATGCTAGAGGGCAGTTTATCCGTCCGCGGTTTTACGCTGTCCACGCGTTCTTGTGGACGCTGAGTAACACCAGGTTGCCTCGTGTCCTCTTCGGAGGAGTGTGGGTTAGTTGGCTTCGGATCATGACGAGCACTTGGAAAGGAAGAGATTTCGGGTATCCGAGCGCGGCGAATGGGTTTGCGTGTACTTCGAGGCTCATTCCTGTGCGATGAAGATTCAGCTTGACGGTAGAATTAACGGGCGTATTCTTACAAAACAAGAATGGACCCATCGTCAGCGTCACTTTCATCGACAAAAAGTGGCAGGAACCCTTTCGGCGCCTGAGCCACAAATTTCTTCGTGATACTGCCTGGTACCTTGCCAGGACTCTTGACGAGACCAGTCAGTTGGTCCGGAAAGTCAGATGACGTGTCGTAAGCATCACTATCTGTCAATTCAATGATTTCGGGTGCACAAAAGGAACTCATATGAGTGATGCCACCAGCAGTAGTATATTGAGCCCGTCGAACCCTGGGTCTTCACTAAGCGTCTGAAGTCATGGTGAGCCTTGTAAGACATGATTTACCCATCTTTGGTGAGCCTGGATGGTAAAAGTAAACCACGTGAGTACGCTTGGGCATAGATCTGCCGCCATAGAGTCTCACAAGTCGTCATCATCGTCATCTGAAGATATTTCAATAACTTCGAGAGAGACAGGCTGAGCCTTTCTATACGAAAGTTGTCGTAGATGAGCGCCCTGCACAGGAAGGTCACGCACGCACCTAAGTCTCTCTGCCTCGCTGTCTGAAATTATCTCTGAACTGAGCCTCTGAGTCATACTGATATCCAGCTGGCAAACGCAGAGACGCGACGTGACTATATCAACTGCATCACGTGGATGTAAATCATTGTTCGTCTGGAACCGTTACCACGTATGACATATTATTGTTAGTCGTTTCCAAGGCCCGCCTAGCTCAATCGGATAGAGCGTCAGACTTTTACGACTGTACAAAGTTTGTGCAAGGCGGTGATCTGAAGGCTGCGAGTTCGACCCTCGCGGTGGGCTACTGTTTTTCTTCTTGTTTGTTTTGGGCGGTTGGTCTAACGGAGCACAGGGCGCTTGCTAAACCACTTCTGAATCAGTCAAAATATGAAGACAAGACGTTTCTCCCGCTGCGACTCCGTGAGTAAATTTACTATGCAAAATTTAATGAGGCCTGCGGGCAGGTGACTTTCCTAACGAGCGTTTCGTATTTCCCTTCCTCGGGACCCTATCGATAAGTAAAACAATCCTACTTTGCGCCATCAATTCCTAGTGCCAGTGGGACCTTGTTCAAAAATAAATAAATAGGACAACTGCTCCGAAATGCCGTTTGAATCTTGCACGCGAAAAACTAAGGATTGCGAGGTAACAAATGCACAATTATAAAAACATTAGCCCACCGCGAGGGTCGAACTCGCAGCCTTCAGATCGCCTAGTCTTAAGAGTCTGACGCTCTATCCGATTGAGCTAGGCGGGCGATGGCAAGAACCCCCAAGGTGCTTCTATCAAGTGCTCGATGAATGAAGCGAGCTAAACGAACTTGAGAGCGATACTAATACATTCAAGGCAAACAGCGAATACTAAATAACATCAATACATCATATCAAACGCCGACCCTGCGGAAAGTTTAAGTCAAGAACTGACATTCGGAACAACAACTTACCGATGCACGACCTTTTTCTGCAATACAAGGGGTTACTACCCCACTTTTGCAATACAATTCAGAATGCTCACCTGTCCAGAGAAGCGTATCACCTCCCTCTTCTCCATGATGAAGAGCGTCCGCTCCAGCGCGTGATTCGAGTAGCCTTGCTGCGTTACAAATTCTCTTACTAGACTTTGATAGCTTGTGCTCCAGCCCACGGGAAGACGTCTGCGTAATTCCTTCTCTATTCGCGTCATCTCCTCGTTTAGCTCGCCTCGAGACATGCCATCAACAGAACCTGCTGAAACAGCATCCATGGTCGAGAACTTGAAAAGCCGGATGGCTTCCTCTACATGATGGTTCTGAACAGTAGGTGATAAGGTCATTTTGGCAAGCGATTCCGATATTCGGATGATGGCTTCTAGTTGGCTTCAAAAGGTGTTACTTTCGATAGCGACCAATGTAGCAATGTAGATACCCACCGAACTGTTATCGGAATCGAGCTCCGTTCGTCATTATCACGTTCTACTTGTTGAACCTGCTTCCGAAGACTGACGAAATGACTGCTAAGCATTTCTTGGGCATCTGGGGATAAACGTGGTGCACATTTGCTGAATACCACAGAATCAGCTTGAACGTCTTGAAGGAATATGGAAAGCAGCTTACCTCTTGCAGTAGGCAATATACCGTTTCATTTTGTCTATGTCAATTTCGCCTACAGTTTCCCCATTTTCGTCTGCGCTTTGATTTGGCCGGTTCATGTGGATGTTCATGACATGCTTGGCAATCATCTAGATATTCGGTCGTTGGTAAATATATAGGATTAAAGAACTGGACACGGACACGATCTCGCTGTTCGTTATGCTCGTCCTTGACAATGAAGATCATGTCAAAACGTGACAAGATGGTTGTTTGAAAGTCGATGTTCTAGCCAGTGTAGATCAGCAAACTGGAAAACGGTATCGTGAAGCAAAGTACCTCGCCGGGGCTTCGACCCTCATCATACCGCCCCCAAACAGGATTTGCTGCTGCAAGGACACTTGTTCGGGAGTTGAGAACCGTCGTGATTCCGGCCTTCGCAATCGAAATGGTTTGCTGCTCCATGGCCTCATGAATGGCAACGCGATCTTCATCACGCATTTTGTCAAATTCATCAATGCAAACAACCCCAGTGTCTGCGAGAACCATGGCGCCTCCCTCGAGATAGAACTCGCGCTACGATGTAGGAAGCTAAGACAAGATTTCTTAGGAAACCAGCACGCACTTACCGAGACTGCATCCCGCTGGACAACAGCTGTTAATCCAGCTGCGCTAGAACCCTTTCCAGAGGTGTAAACGGCGATTGGCGCAACCTGAAGTGAAGTGAAGTGAAGTGAGGGAATGCATAAGCGCGGAATTGGTGCCATTGCATACCTTCTCGACAAACTTGAGCAGTTGACTCTTTGCTGTACCTGGGTCTCCGAGCAAAAGAACGTTGATATCACCTCTCAACCGCATACCATCAGGTAAGACCTTTTTAGAGCCACCGAACAGTAGACAGGTGATTGCCTTCTTAATGTCTGCAAAGGTCATGAGTGCGCATTTCAAAACTCATCTCACAGTTCGCAACGAACCGAGGCTGCCATAAATACTTGGACCAACGCTCTTAGCAAAACGTTCGTAGAAACCTTCGCTGCGTGCCATCTCGCCAAATTCTTCCTCTTCTTCAGGCGTAAATTGCACTCCAAAAGGATTTGAGGCGCCACCACCTGCGGTCGGTGAAGACATTTCAATATGAACAAGGCGAAGGTAAGGTTGTCGAAGTGCAGCAGGACCGGCAGATTTCTATGAATGGGTATTACATGTGCACAGTGTAGGTGTTCATTTTAATACTCACGTTCTTTGCTGAATGGAAAGTAGAATAAATTCCAGTCGCAACTATTCGTGAGCCAGGTACAACCCTGCCGGTTAGGTATCGATCTGCGGATAGGAGCATGTGCCGCGGGAGTTCACCAACCGGAACCATGTCTGGTGCCTCTTGCAGTTTCAGAGTCTGCTGATCAACAAATGCTGACTTCGAGTGGACGATGATGTAGGGGTCCATTGGACAATCTTTCTTCTGGTTCTCCAATTCTGGTGCATCACAAACTCGTGGTAAGCCTCGGTCTGAGCCATTTCCAAGCCCTCCAAGACCGCCGGGAGGGTATATGGTCTTAGTAGAACGACAAGCACGACATTGGAGATGAAGCTTCGTTGCTCGCGAGGAAAGGACGGACGCAGAAATGACTATGCCTGGTATACGGACCAATTTATTCATCGTATTTGCTGTCAAGTCACGAACACGTTGCATTTGGAGGCCAGACTTGATGGTGATTTGAACCTTAGGGATTGATTGGAGAGCAGCCTCTGCGCGTTCATCAGAGCCACCAGCTAACGGGAATAGGATAGAACGGGCTGCTTTAGTAGCTGCATTCTCAAACTGACGAACTTCTGAGGTGCGAGTCAAGAGACAAGCAGATTGTACTCACCAGTGGCAAGATATCTGCGGGCCTGTCTTGAATTGCATGTGCGAGCTCGTCATTGTACAATCCAACGTGACGAAGATCGACTTCGAGCTGATACTGCTTGAGGAGTAAGTTTGCTCGGAGTTGGTCTCTGGGATATGATATGATTTAATAACTGCCAGATGTCCAGTGGATAATTGAGCTGACCTGTAGATGAATTCGCCTCCGACGCGATATTGTAGCAAAAATTCTAACAGGAGTTTCTCGGTCTGTGACGGAGAGTCGGTAGATGCAGCAGGCGGTGGATCGTGTACCGAGACGGTGAACACATGATTTCCATCAAAACCTGACATTGGTGATTTGAAGAGAAAGGAGCAATGTTCACGGTAATGAATGGGCGTGGTGGACGCGAGGCATGTTATTTAGGGCTGGCAGATACGCGACAAGCAGACTAGTTTTCAATTTTCACTGAAGGACGGGGCAGCCGTTTGAGTCCCGTTTAGCTCAGTTGGTAGAGCGCGTCACTAGTAATGACGAGGTCAGTCGTTCAAGTCGGCTAATGGGAAACTTTTTTGATCTCCTATTACGGACTTATTTCATCTTTTATCGTCACAAGGTCACTTAGTTAACTCACAACTCCTCCATAATGACTTCGATGGATACAGACGAGCAATCCGTTGTCCTTCCCTCCAGCACTACGTCCGGATTATCCTTATCTCTGTCTGCATATTTTTCCTGCTCCAGGTAATATCGTTGACTTGTCGTCCAGGCATCCCCTACCCATCCTGAACATCTCCGAACACTTCACAAGGCTAAGGCTTCAGTCTCGATCCAATTCACCTTTCGGTGGGTGTTCCTTTCTCCCTCGCGCTTGTTCTCTCTAATGAAAGGCACTAGTGCTCGGCGCGCTGCTAGGCACACAAAATGGTAGAGAAGTCGAGATTGTCAACACATTCGAGCTTGCCACAGAAGAGGGTCGCGATGACCTTGTAGACCATGGATTTCTCATATCTAGACGAGATCAGTGTAAGCAGCTGATGTTGTCCACATCCTCTCTGACCAAACGACTTCGTTCTCGAAGATAAACAGGTGTTTCCCTCCTTAGAGTTCATCGGATGGTACACGATAGCCCCTGTACCAACTTCTCGCCACATCGCATTACATGAGCAGGCACGTCAATTCTTTCGACTTCTTGCTGAGGCTCATGGCTTGCAGTTTACAGGATACTGCTCGACGCCACTCCTGCTTGTCTTACAACCCTCCATTATAACTCCATCATCATCTGATATCACTGGGCAGACACTTCCTTTCAAGGCATATGAGCCTACCATTGAAATAAGGGATAAGAAAACACGTTCTGTGTTTATAGAGGCACCGTACAAGGTAGAGACCGGTGAAGCCGAGCGTATTGCTGTCGACTGGACAGCCAAGGGTGGCGGGGGAAGTACTAGCCGTGGGTTAATTGCTCTTTCTACTAGTGCAGACCTTCCTCATCTTTTATCATTTTCTCTCCAGTCGAATCTCATCTTCAGACTCAGCGGGCAGCAGTCAAAATGTTGCATGAGCGAATCTTGGTTCTTGTACAGTATGTAACGAACGTGGTTGCAGGTGCGTTGGGCGAGTGTCAGCTTGAAAGCAAGACATAAATGATTACATCTTTGCACCAGGCCAAGTCCCAACAGATCATACAACCCTTCGGTCCTTGTCAGCCTTAGTCGCCTCGTTGCCGGCAAGTGAGAACAAGGGGTTCCGAGAGGAATTTGACACTGTGAGTCTCTACTTTATGCCTTACATTGTCTACATTTACTTCAGCCCGAACCATTACTGACTCTCATACGTCGATGCAGGAGTATGAAGACGTTCAGCTCACTGCATTTCTCTCGTCGCTTACGAAATCGACAAACATATTGAACGACGTGAGTGATTACTTCGTCAATTTATTGAATTAGTTCTGACCTTGCTATCTAGCTTGTTGATAAACATCTTGTGCTCACGGTCGGATCGCGAGACGATCGCACTATGCCTGGCTCAAGGAGGAGAATGGGCAAGCAAGGTATAATGTCAGGGGATTGGGTGATGCACTCTTAGTTAACATGAGCCTCCGTGTCGCTGGCACATAACATTACATAAAACGCAATATTTGTATCCTTACCCAAGCACCAAATGGTCGACTGATTGTTGAACTTAATTATGTTGTCTCCCCTCTGTTATGAACATCATCACTCATGATCATTGTGTTGTCTTCATACATCTTCATCTTTTTTCATCACATGTGGATTGGGTTGTGATGCACTCCTCATCGAACCACAGATTCGCCTTGCAGGGAATCCGGGGTGGCCCTCGAAGTAGATATTATGCAAAAATACAGTTCTAAGCAGTACAGTCATGCGCCTACAGACTCCATGGATGGCATGTATCCCTCTCTTAAACTTCTCTCCAGCCTCCTGATTTCCTCAATAGAGGTTGCCTTTGCAATGGCCTGTTTGACCTTCTCGGCATCTTCTTTTGACATCAGCCGACCTGCCTTCCCTGACAGCGCCGCTGGCTTGGGCTCGTCAATAGTGACGGCTGCTTTTGCACCCTGCTTCGATACAGTGGTGGATATCGTCGTTGCAAGGGCATTTGGTAAGCCTTCTGGCGTGAGGAATAAAGACTTCCCCGCCTCCCGCTCCTGAAATGTGCGAGTGTGCTGAGCTATCCGACCGCGCTGAGTTTCGAACGTCGTAAGCGCACCTTATCGCGAATCCTCTGAAAATCCAGAACTCTCAGCGATGGTATTCTCCACGCAAGCCACTCGCGATACCATTTCTTTTCCCTCACAGGGTTGCCTAGCAAAGCAACGTACTTCAACCCTTTGATCTCCTTGAGAGGCTCTAGATCGCCCAACTCGGCGACGCTGTTACCCGTAAGGACAAGAGTTGTCAGATTGGGAACGGAAAGGTGGATTGAGGGTGAAATCGAGGTGACTCGGTTGTTGGCAAGAAGGAGCGTTCGTAGTCGTTTGAGTAGGGGCAGATTTCCTAGCACGGTGATCGAATTATCAGTAAAATCTATGGCATCGTGCTGGTCCTAGATGCATGTTATAATATCACTGCCGGTATACGAATGTAGGCCAATGTTCGCACCTTGGTCACACCAAGGTTTTCAATGGTAGGGATTTTGTAACCTTCGGAATGATATAAACACGGCTTGAGATGTAATAGATTTTTAAGAGCTCACCTCGCAGATCAAGCTGCCGCTCTTTTACAGGGTTGAGTGCAGACGGGGCCTGCGCGAGCAGCTCGGGGGTGAGCTTGACCATGGCGGCTCTAGTCAAGCGTTGGGGGTGCACAGTGCGTTTCAGACTCAGACACCACGAAGCAGCACGCTCAGTTTATAGACGCGACGCGCTCAACATTTCTCCCTCACTGTCACTCAAACAAACCACCATGAAGCCCATATACCAGAGGCTCAATCTGTGCGATCCATCGTCCATTACATTCCTTCTGCTCTGCTCATTTTTCTCTCTCTCAGATTCATTGACGGCCAGGATGCCTACACCTTTGTCCCCGTAGAACCCATTGGAGCACAGTCTCTCACCATACACAGGGCTACCGGCGACATAGTACTCAATGGTTAGCTGGCTGGCATCGTTGGTATTATAACTAAATATGACTCTGTGCAGCCCCCAACACACCTGTGCCTTCTACCGCCTCGAGATACGGAAAGACGATATACGGAATCCTGGGGATGATTTCACTTGCTCTTTGTGCGTGCTGCGACTCTCAGTGCCCGCTTGCATACACTGAACCACATTGCAGCGGAGTATGTGATTGTAATGACAGGTCGTGAGCACCGTGCCCGCCTCATGGGCCATGACATATACCGCGCTGCCGACTTTGACATCCTACCTCTTAATCCAAATGTCTCTGTCCAGAATCCACAACACCCTGTAGAGGGACACTTATTGGCGCTGGTTCGGTCGCATCTACTCGGTGGCTATTTCTTGTTCAGCTACGGTTGGGACTTGTCGAGGAGGCTTCAAGTACAATGGCAAGACCAGGAAAACCAAGAGAGAAGGGCCTTATGGGAGGTGGTGCGTGCCGAGATATGTCCTCAAAATCATGGAACTGACGGAGTATTAGACTGACGATAGGTTTTTCTGGAACAAGTTGGTGGCTCGTTCAGCTGTGTGAAATGGGCATGTTGATATTGATGGTCCTTCGCAGATTTTTGCAGTCTAGACTCACAGATACAGACATTGCACATGATGTGGGTCACTGTCATCTAGTCTATCACGCATCTTATAGTTTATACAGCTCAGTCCTTACATTCTGCCAATTATATATGGCAGTAAGTCTCCGTCTCTATCTTTCTACTTCACTGTTGATGACTGATGGCCTTCAGCATTCGACATTCGCACTGTATATATCCATGGACACCGCATTCAGCTTTGCCTCATCAGTCGACGGTCACGGTATCGTGCAGGCACGAGGTACTTCCGTCGTGGTATCGACCATGAAGGCCACGTTGCAAATTTTAATGAGACGGAACAAATTCTCCTGGTCGACGAGAAAGCCGCGGGACGCTTATCACTCGCCGAAAGCTTTACGCATAAACTGAGTTTCATTCAGATTAGAGGCAGTGTGCCCGTTTTCTGGGCTGAGATCAACACACTTAGATATAAGCCTGATTTGCAGGTGATGGACCTTCAGGAGACGGTAACTTCACCTTTCATTATTGAAAAGTTTCATTGTTCTTACCTGTTGCAGGTTGACATGATGAAGCTTCACTTTCAGGAGCAAGTTACAGAATACGGTGGTCAAAGTCTAATCAACCTCGTGAATCAAAAGGGCTACGAACAACCGGTAAAGGAGGCCTATGAACGTACAGTTTCCCAAGTATGTTGCTGTTGCACCCCTTCCGCACTTCATATCGATGCATTTTAGGTTGAAATTCCAGACGTGAAGTATCAGTACTTCGATTTCCACAACGAGTGCAAACACATGCGATGGGACCGTATCAGTGTCCTCATTGAGAAGATGCACGAAGACCTCATTAACCAAGGGTATGAACGAGCGATCCTCAAGTGTCTGTCTATTAACGCAGGTGCAGATACTTCCACCTTGACACGGCACAGGATACGGCCGTACGATTCCAGACAGGTGTGGTGAGGACAAATTGTATGGACAATCTGGATCGGACGAACGTGGTCCAAGCGGCTCTGGCAAAGTGGACGCTTAATCACCAGTTGAAAGCCCTTGGAGTACTATCCGATAACGAGGAACTGGACGACTTTGATGCATTGTCCAGAGGTTTCCGCGAGAGTAAAGCTGTCACTTGAGTCTCATCTTCCACGGCATACTCATCAGGTCCCTCAGTGTGGGCCGATCATGCAGATTTAATCTCAAGGGCATATGCAGGTTCTGGAGCGCTCAAGACAGATTTCACTCGCACCAACAAGCGAACGAGAGTGGGTGCTCTTGAAGATGGTTATAAGAGTGTCATGCGGTACATCAAGAACAATCATTTCGATGGTGCTAGACAAGTTCGTGTCTCCAGATAGCTTAACTTCGTTACCCTAACA